GAAGTTAAATCATCTGAAACACTTGTGTGCTGCTTTAGGATGCTAAGCTCAATTTTAGTTTGATTTTCAAATACCTTTTTTCGTTTCTTTACTTATTTTTCCTCCTTCTCCTGCTGTCCTTCCTGAATATATAGATGAATGAAATGCTTAAGAAGGTACAATATTAATTAGATCAGCTGTGAGATTCCTGTTGTTCCCTGTGTAACATGTAGCTTAGTTTTGTGCCATTCAGCAGTCTTTGTGCGCTTTGCGTTGCTTGACTCTGACATAGGAGTTGTTTGTCAGTGATATTTGCAGTGAATGACTACATTTGAATTTACAAAGTTCCAGAGGCTGTAAGTTTTGGCTGTTAATATACAAGGGATTCTAAGTGGCTGAAAAAAACTATTTTGACTGATCCTGATACTTTTAAAGGATGACATCTTAGGTGATGTATGAGTAAATAATTGTCACTGTTACATAGTTAATATGTGCTAGATTTGCTTCTGGAAAATCTCATCTAAAAGCATTGAAATTCTAGACAAGTCTGAATTACAAGGGTTGATCTAAAAATTACTTGGACCTTCCCTGCAAATATTTTGGCATTGCACAGGGTTGTCACAGTATTATTTATATAAAAATCACTGGGATTTTGTTCATAACCTCAGCTGTCGTTTTAATCATTGCTGTGTGAATAGCAGGTAGGATAGTACCTAATTGTTTAACTTTGAATCAATACATGGTGTTGCATACTCATTCCTGCAGGTTTATTTGGCCATAACTTTTCAGTGCTTTAATAGAGTCTGCTTATAGGTACAGGTCATTATGTGCATTCATAAGTAAATGCAAATTGCCTGATTTTCTGTTACTTTGACCTTTCTTATATGACTGAGAGCCAAAGTATATACTGCAGCAAAGTTCAAAATGCTGTTAGGGAAGAATTTTTCACTGCATTTATGTTCCTATGAATGGTGAAATAAGTCCAAATACAGTAAAGGCTTAAGCCCAAACTATAAATAAAACAATTTTTGTATAAATTCTACTGTCTTTTCAAGTTTGACACCCAAGAAGATGAGAAATTGCTCCAGGCAGCAGCAAAGTATGAAGCCGAATGTACATCAGCGTTTCCAAGCCGCCAATGCCTAACAACTGTGATTGACCTCAGTGGGAAAACAGTTTTTATTACCAAATATATCAAACCTCTGAATCCACCAGAGGAGCTTCTTGATGCCGTCCCAGACAGTTCTCAATCAGCAGCAGTAAGTACTCGGGAAAGACAGTGCAAGTTTCTGGGATACGGATTTCCAAGTGTGTGCATTCACATGTGCACACACACGCGCACGTAGGCACGTACCAGTTCTGTACATCAGTTGTACAGCTACACTTTTTGTAAAGGAAGGACTGCAGGTAGGATATAAAGTAGTAATGACTGTGTGTGATACACAGGGAGTCTATCCATAATGATCCTGGAAAAGGATATTTGTCTTCTCTGGATAAAAGTAGATATATTAATGAGTATTGTGCTTTAAAAGACAAAGAATTATGCCATATCTCAATGGGAGGAAATCATATCAGTCTTTGGTATGAGTTCTAGAATGAGCTATTTGCTGCTGCAGTGGGGTTAGTCAGTGTTTTGTCACTGATGTCTGTGGCAATAGCACTGTGCTTTACACCTGGAATAATACTGCTGTAGTGGTGTGAACTGAAGGAGTGACTTGCTTTGTTATGTTTTCTTGCAGGAGTTGGTGGCTCGATATGTTTCTTTGATTCCTTTTTTGCCGGATAGTGTGTCATTTGCTGGAATTTGTGATTTATGGAGTACGTCAGATGTAAGAAATGCATTAAACAGTTCTTTATCCTCATGAATGTGGTGTAACATCCTAGCAGCCCCTGTTTCAGGGGGAGATTGTCCTAGATGAGCTCTTGAAGTCCCTTCAGACTGAAATTATTCTTTGATTCTATTACTGTGAGCACTGTTTATTTCAAAGAACAAGGACCAAAGCTTGAAAAAAGTTGTTCATCCTGATATGAGCCAGAATTTTTCCTTTGAGAGGTTGCTTGATTGACAGGGTTGATTGACCCTTAGGTTAGGGCTTTAAGTTTTTCCTGGGTGTTTTTCAATTATAGACCAATCCAAAATAGCTAGTCACATGCAAGTGAAGGGATACTGACTGATCAAGACTTTAAAAGTAGGCTTAAAGTGATCACTGTAGTGATGGAGGAACTACAGAAAAATCCCACTATTAAGTGTTGAAAACACAGTTGATAACTGCACAGAAAGACTTCTTTTTTCCTTGCACCTTAATTAGCAATTTCTGTACCTCCTGGCGGGAGATGAGGAAGAACACGCCGTGCTCTTGTGTAATTATTTCCTTGGTATGGGGAAAAAAGCCTGGCTTATCATTGGAAACGCTATTCCTGAGGTAAGAGGATTTTTTCACTTGGTCTCAGCATTAACTTGTATTCTGGGCAGTCTTTGGTTCCCACCAATGGATAGAATTGTTTCTCACTGACATGATTTTTCAGGGATTCCTGAGAGATAATATAAAAAAGGAGCTGGGAAATTCCTTATGTGCCTGTATGAGGGAAGGCTGATGGGTGAGACACAGAATGTGCTGCCCCAGTGGCAGTCCTTTCTCTTGGAGGTGGCAATGGATAAGGGTTGTGGCAGTATTCAAGCAGGACATGCTGGTACTGAAGAGGCATCCATTAAACATTCCTGGATGTGGAATTTCACATCAGTTTGTAGCTGAACCAAGATGACTTTCAGGATGTGTAGTTTAGGAGCGGCTCGGGGCTGTGTATGTCTGATGTTTCTCTGCCACATAAGAGACAGAGACCACGTTATGTGTTAGTTGGTTGAACTGTCATGAACCTGTACATTCTTCCAACCAGTGTGCCCCTCAGAAGTGCTCTTAATCTCAACAATAAAGTTAATATTCCAAACAAACAACACAAAACATGCTGCCTTTGGAGCCAGTTTTCAAACATCTTTCTCACACTTTTTCTTTCTTCCTAGGGACCAACTGCATACGTATTAACTTTGGAACGAAGTCAGTATGTGATTTGGAACCCCAGTACTGGATGTTTTTATGGGCAGTATGATACTTTCTGCCCCTTACAAAACGTGTACTGTCTGATCAGCTGTGATAATGTAAGTAAGTGTTTTGTCACATTTCTGTACACGTAAGAGTTGGTGCCTTGATATTTTCCTTGACCTTGTTCGTCATTTGTTCATCAATGTAACTGTATTTAGGCTGTCACTTTATTAGTGATTTTCTGAATATTAAGCAGGTTTTTCAGCTACTTTAAATAGGAAGGATGTTTTTAATCAGCAGTTACGTGGATCATGACATCTGTTCATATAATTTTATAAATGAAGTGTACTGGAAGGAGTCACTTGAGTTGCATTTGCAATGGCTGGCACGCCCTATAGGGTTCAGTGTGCAAAACAGAGCTGGCACTACAAGGCACAGAAACTATACTGATTTTCTGCCTGGTGTCAAGTCCTCCTGTTTATTTGCTGTAAAATACAAGGAATACTAGTGCGTGGTCACTGTGACATTACTCACTGTGCGGCTGGAAACCCTCTGGGAGAGAGCAGTAAGGCAGAGAAGAGAGGGCAAGAGCTGTGCAGCCCAGGACAGGGGAGCCAGAGGAGAGGAAATGGGGCTGAGCTGGGCCTGTGCCAGGAGGGACAGAATCTCTGGGCAGGTTCCTGCCAGCAGCATTGCTGGGCATGGCTGGAAGCTCCTGGGGACACAAACCAGGACGTGATGGCGAGGTAGAGACGTGTGACAGTCTCAGGAAGCACAAGGTCAGTTTAAAAAAGGAACCCGAGGTTTTCTTTGAAACCCAAAGTTCAGTTTAAAAGTTTGCTCCTCCATGTTTTAGGAACACTATAAGGAAACAGTGAGTCAGGCTTCCATTGTGCACTGAATTATAGCAAACAGCTTTTATATTCTGCATTGAAAACATACCTGGAGAAGTCATCTGAAGTGTCATGCATTGTCAGTTTTGTTTTGTAATCATCTGGGGTTTTATTCTGAACACAAATCATGACTTTGGCTGAGAATTTACTATTCTAAAGCATATTTAAAGTGTCAGTTCTGTGTCACTGGGAGTGTTCTGGGGAGGGATTTGACTTGGTTTGGGTTTTTTTTAAGTGGTACTAAACCTGCAGTTAACAGAATTGTAACTTAATTGCTGGAAGCAGCAGCTCGGGAGCTCAGCACTGACCACCTCATCAGCTAACCTTGCACCACAGAGCTCAACATCTTTCAGGGTGTCCTGTTCCCGTGTACCTGTGACTGAGCAGGGGTGTGCCAGCAGGGCCATCCCGCTCCATAGCCAGTGGGGAGAAAGCACCTCTGTTGTGTCATACAGGCTGCACACAGAACCCTCAGTCACAAAAGGTTAGGTGTTAACTAGTACATTTACGTACTAATTGTTGGTACTTTTTGCAGCCTTGGCAGCCCTTATTTACAGGTTGTTTTGAACCAGGAGCCTACAATGCTGTCATGCTTCAGACTAGGCTCAAACACAGACCAAATTGAACGTCTATAAAAAAGTGGGGTGCAAGACATGGTTTCCCCTTGACAGAATACACACAGGAGCTGTGCGCATCCGCAGTAGCTACTTCGACTCTGCATCACAAGCTCGAAATACCAGTGGTGCTGGGGTGCTGCAGGCTACCAGGTGTCAGAGCCACAGCTGCACTGTGCTGGGCCACTGAAGAATCCCATCAGTCAGAATTAGCAGTTCAGAGGGGTGGGAATGCAGCTCAGCACAGCCGAGGAGGCTCCGAAGTAGAGCGAAGCCCAACACCATGTGATGCTGAAGTGATGGTAAAGGCAGAAAGTTTCTGACAGCATAAAATCTGCCCCAGTGCACAGCAGGTGAGGTGTAGGAAACAAATACTGGAGGAAGCAAAGAGGCAGCAGGAAGAGGCTTGCTGTTGGACTCCATCTTAGTCCTTTCCAGCCTAAATGATGCTGTGATTCTCAGAGTTGCCAACTGCAGACAGTAGTTCTGTTCATACACTACTCTCAGTCCACATTCAAAAGCATGAGACATAACAGAGCAGCACCACCCCTTCTGTTGCACATGAGCTGTGACTACACCAGAGTGCCTTGCTCCATATGAACTCATACTGGCAATTGCTCTGGGAGGTCAGAATGGTACGGTATGTTATTGGCACATAGGTGGAATGTGTTCCCTAACTGTGGTTATATACTGAAAGTTAAACTTGCTTTCTCATAGGTTTGGTTTAATGTGCAAGAACATGATTCTCCAGCAAGGATAAGTTTTGATGTCAGCAAACCAAAACGTTGGAGGCCCTTCTTTTCCAGAAGCTTCCCTTACCCTGGCCTCAACAGTGTTCAGGTATCAATGGATTTAATAACAAACAGCTTGGTTTGAGGGGTTGAGAGGCCACAGACTGAATTCTTTGGGCTTCTGTGGATAAGTGTATTTATGTAATAGGATTGGGTTTTAAACAGATTTTCCCAGACACTGCTTAAAACGAAAGGCAAGCAGAATAGTGCAAAGTATTTGGGTTTATAGAGAATGGAGGCACAGCTGTTGTCCTCTAACTCTCCATGTAAGAACACGGGACAACAGCAAGGTAAAAAGGAACAAATCTTTAACACAGACATATCTAAAGTAGTAGCTTGGTATCGTAATGTCCACTCTTACCTTATGGCTAGGACAGCCTTAATAAACACCCAGGGATTTCTCCACAGTTTATCAAAGGTAGTTGTAGTTTGGGGGCTGGGGGTGGGGGGAACCGAACAAAAAACCAGTGTTACACACAGCATCTACTTCATGTTTGTATCATGTCTCTACTAAATAATAGATTATTTTAGCGTAACTGTGAACTCATGTGAGTACCAGCAGGGCAGTAACTCCTGATGTTTGTTACACTGTTGTATAGCCAGAAGAGACTGCACAGTTTCATATTTTACTGTCTTATTTCTCACTAGCCTGAAGAATTAGTTTACCAGTGTTCGGACAAGGCTGCTGCTGTGGAACTACAGGGCAGGTAATTGTACCTCCAGAACAACTGCCGTCAGTGCTGATCACCAGTGCCTCTTCACACCCAGATCCCAAAACCTGCTCTGAATGCTGGGAGCTGAGACTGGCCTAAAAAAGCCGGCAGGAGGTCAGAGATCTGCTTTTCATGCTCCCTCGTTAATAGAGACTGCCAGATAGAAAGAGCTGATCAGTCGTGGCTGCACAGCTTCCTAATAAACAAGATGCTGCAGAGAGACGAGAGGCTGTAAACTAGAAAGGGCTGCAAGCTCCTGGCTTCCCCTCCGGTCAGTGAACGTGCAGGCACAACACAGCTGTGCTGGCATTGCTTTTCTGTGCTTTTAGGTAGCAGTAAATTTAACTGAGGTCATTCGTGTTCCCCATAATCCGTCCTAAGCCTGCCAGGGAGGAGCAGTCACGCGTCCACTCAGGGTAAGGACGGTAACAATCAGTCTGTTTTACTGCAGGATTGAAAAAATACTAAAAGAGAAGATCATGGAGTGGAGACCAAGGCACCTCACTCGCTGGAACAGATACTGTACCTCTACCCTGCGGAGCTTTTTGCCACTGCTGGAACAAAACCAAGGCAAAGATGTAGAAGGCGATCATCAGGCTGAGCTGCAGAAACAGCTAGGGGATTACAGGGTACTGCTGTGAACACGACTGGCGTGTGCATAGGAGGAGGAATCTAAATCCCTGGGGTTTTGTATTGCTACTCTGTGATATGAAAGTGTGCTGGGATATTTATTTCCTCTGCTACCAAGTCACGAGGGCTTTTATACTCAAGATAAACAGATGTAGTATTTACAGAGTGAAGGAGTGATTTTCCTTTTCATTTGTAGATGTTGAAGATAAAATTTTCCTGTTGAATGTAAAGATCAGAATGTACAGATAAACCAGCTGCACTCTTCTTGTATTATCGCTCTACCACAGCATCAGTTGAGAGGTAATGAGCTCTCAAGTCTGGTCAGTAACACTGGTGCTGAGTAGTGTTACACACAGTCTACTTAGAGCTGCAGGAGCCCACACAACAACATGCTTTACTTGTTTTCTGCTCCTTGCTCCACTCTTTAAACACAGAAGAAATTGTACTTCAGCATTCACTGCAGCCACCAATGTGCCTGGGGCCTTCTTCCTTCAGGCTGTTGTAAAGGTTAGGTCCTCCAGCTCCTCCTGCTCACACACGTGGTGACAGCACCAGGCGCAAGGTGGCCATTTCCTAAGTGAGCTGTGGTTTCAGTTCCTGTTGGACCTGCCGATGGGCAGGAGATGGCTGCCACATCGTCCCCAGCCAGTGCAGGCAGGAGAACACAATGAATTAACACCAGTTAGAAGGCAGAAAAGCTGCAGTTACACTGGATGTGATCATTAATGTAACTTTATTCTACTGCATTTATAAACATCTTCACTTCAAACTTAACCCAAAGAGGAGAAATGGCAGCAGCTCGCCTGGAGTATAGGAAATAGAGAGGTGGTATTAAAACAGAAAATAGGCCTTTTGTTATTGCATCTCCTCGGGCCTGCATAAATTTGCAAGTACAGTAGAACAGGTTTTTAAACCTGTGTATTTATTCAGGTGCCTTTACCTTTCCTCATTACCTGATGTGGTTTTCCCTCGTTCTCTCTCCCAGGTCTCTGGATTTCCTATTCACAGGCCATTCTCTGAAGTCAGACCTTTAATAGAAGCTGTACACAGCACCGGCGTTCACACCATTGACATTTCCAACGTTGAATTTGCACTAGCTGTGTATGTTCACGCCTATCCCCAAAATGTTCTCTCTGTATGGATTTATGTGGCTTCACTTGTTCGAAGTAAGTAGTACAGACCAGTCAGCTTACCTCAAGAAACTGGCTTATGTAGGGGACAAACATACAACAGATTTCTCACGCTGCTGCTTTGAGCTATCTCAAGTACTTTAAAAATCAAATGAGGTTTTTCCAGCTGCAAACATGAGTGTTACTCACCCCACAGCCACTGATGAGACTACTTACCACCACCAAGGAAGAGACTTACAGCTTGGAACTCCAGTACTAATAGGTGATTTTTATGCCATGTTTATTGCTCCCAATGGGATACCACTCTCAAGAGCATTACCGATGCTCACATATGGTGACAACACAAACTAACACAGCAGTTCAGCCACCTCATTTCTAGGTATCAGAGGGTTTATTTTATCTACAGCCTTTCTTCCTCCTGAAAGACACTGGCAAATAGAGTTTTCCAGTACTCCAGTTCCTGAATGAAGATCAGGAGTATTTACCCACAAGTACATTTCATGCACCAAAGAGCCATCAGTGAAGACCATACTTCAGTTTTTAAGAGGCGGTTTCATCTGCTGTTCCATACTCAGTGGCTGTATAATGCCAGCACCATTTAGAGGTATAAGATGACATTTTCTTCAGAAGTTAAATGCTTCATCTTTAATAAATATTTATGACAAAACCTAACTGGAAGCTCATTCATTTTATACAAGAATTTAATTAAATTACTTTGGAGTATGAAATCCTTACCTGCAAGTTACCTTAATAAAAGATTATCAAAAGAATAGTTTACTAAAAAACAAATTTGCATATTAATAGCATAGAATCATAGAATGGTTTAGTTTGGACCTTAGAGATCACCTAGTTCCAACCCCTCTGCAATGGGCAGGGACACCTTCCACTAGACCAGGTTGCTCAAGGCCCTGTCCAACCTGGCGTTGAACGCTGCCAGCATATGCAAGTAGTGGTGTTAATAGTGCCAATACTGATACAAATATATATATATATATATATTTCCAGCAGTTCCCTTCCTAATCACACTCTTCCAAGTGAAAATGACAGCCTTCAAAAGAGGCGGGATGGGCAGCAGAGAGCTGTCTGCCTTACGCAAAGGTGGCCACTGATGTGGTTTAACCCACACAGCCTGTCCCTCACTTCCCCCCCACCCAGTAGGATGAGGAGGAGAATCAGAAGGTAAACCTCATGGGTTGAGATAAGAACAGTTTAATAATGAAAGTACAATACTAATACTACTAGCAATAATAATAATGAAAAGGGAAATAACAAAAAGATATTAAAGACACCCCCTCCCAAAAAACCCCACAAAACCCAACCCAACCAAATTAAAAAAACACCCAGCAAACACAAGTGATGCACAATACAATTGCTCGCCACCCGCTGACCGATACCCAGCCCGACCCCAAGCAGCAATTGACTTCCCCCAGCCAACTCCCCCCAGTTTCTACACTGGGCATGAGGTGCTGTGGTATGGAATACCCCTTTGGCCAGTTTGGGTCAGGTGTCCTGTCTCTGCTCACACCCAGCTTCTTGTGCACCTCCTCACTGGCAGAGCATGAGACTGAAAATGTCCTTGATCGGGGTAAGCATTACTTAGCAACAACTGAAACATCGGTGTGTTATCATCAGCAGTGTTCTCAGACTGAAGCCAAGGCACAGCACTGCACCGGCTACTAGGAAGAAAATTAACTCTATGCCAGCCAAAACCAGGGTGCCACCCACCCCTCCTCTGCCTGAGGAAACCACCTTGTCAGTTATGAGCTAGTGGCCACTGAAGTTTGCACCTTAGCATGGGCCACAACACTCCCTCTTGCCACAGGCTCTTCCCCATACCAGCCCGCACGCACTCATGCACTACTCAAACATTACTCATCTCTTTCTAGCTCAGGTTTCACTTGGCCCAACAGTGGATCCTCTGCCTCCCTGATCATCTCTGCTGTGCAGCGAGGGGCCTTTTTACAAATCAAAGCAAAGGGGAAAAACGTAACGTTGCCTTCCATGGATTTCACGTTAATGAAAACAGGCTTCCTTGGAAGCTGTGTCAAAAATACATCTTAGCACAGTCAGGGGAATAAAAAACCAAACCAAAACACAACCCCCCCCACTCACTGCAGGTTCACAGCTCTTCAACACCCAGCCCACCTCTGCAGCTCGCTGGCATGGTACGCCTGCACATCACACCTCAGAAGCATGTACAACTCAAGTGCTACGCCAGGGTTTTACTGGTGGGAATGTTTTATTTGAGTATGTCTTTCAAGCCCAAATACAAAACCAAATGCAAAAGGAAGGTGGCAGTTTCCCTAATTTTGCAATATAAAGAACAACTTCAGGATGAGAGGAAAGGGGAAGAAACAAGGCTCCTAAAGATGCAGAACTGTTACCCAAATGCAAACAATACATCTCAAATTCTCTGCAGAGCTTTATACTGTACTTACGGATTCAAAACAGAAAAAAGAAGCCCATTCACTTAACACAAAATAATCCAGTAAAGTCTATTTAAGTGCCAAACTTGGAAGAAAGTGGCATTAAAAAAAAAAAAAAGATCTGAATGTTTTCCCATCTTCCCCAAATGAAGTAAAACAAAACCCAACACCCCTCAAACCAAATGAGATTGTGAGATTGTTACAACACTGTACAGTACACTCATAATTAAGATTCTGAAGTTGTGGGCAGGGTCAGGCTAGTAGAACGAATCTCACTCCAAGGATTGTTAACACAAGATGCGAACTGTAAGTAAAGTGCATGAAAGGAAGCCTGCTCAGCTAAATGAAGTAGACTGAAAGGTCAGGAGTCAGCGGTCATTCGCCAGAGCGGCAGCAGGCCCGAAAACCACACTGCAAATTCTGGCATCCACTGGCGGTTTCAGCATGAGGACCTGCACAAAAACAGAACACATGTGAAAAGAAGAACAGGCCATTTGTTCAGATCCAGAATCCTCGTGACCTGGTAACTCAGAAAGCATCTCCTTTTCATTCTTGCATTAAACTTCATTCAGCACTGTAAGTCTGAAACACTGCCAGCACTAGCGCAGTGTAAGTGTGCTCGATTTGTGCTCTGGTAGCTTAGTCCCACGAAGGTAACACTGAATTCAAAGTGACACAGATGTACGAGGAGCAGCACTACACGAGCAAGCTCCAGCAAGCTCTCAGCGGGCTTTCAGAACGGAGGGGTGTTTTCACAATGCATATTTGACGCCCAGTTCTCAAACTCAGATGACAACCTCATGGCATTACCAAAGCAACCATAATCTCCAGAAGAATTTCTACCATAATGGAAGCAGGATTTTAGTCTGGAAGGTTTTTTCCACCATGAACACTTCCTGGTTGGCCAGACCTCGCATAGTCTGACTGGAGACTCAAAAACTAAAGAGAAAAATCACCTTTAGCATCACTGCAGTTACCAGAAGCCATAAGGCTAAAAACCAGCCGTTCAGGAAGAGTTGGGAGCACACCCAGTACAAACCATCACAGTAATTCCACCCACCTCCACTTACCTTTGCTTACTGTTAGCCCTTTAACTTGAAAGGTTAAAGTGATCATGAGATAAGAAGCTATTACATTTATTAGTACAGGATTTTATTTCCTGCAGCCTGCTTTAGGGACACAAATATTTACATTCAGGTTGTCTGAACTCTGGCACCCGACATAAACTGGAAGTGGGTGCAGAGTTAACTAAAGCTGGGGAAGACCTGACCAGAACAACCCAAATTTCTCCCCCTTTGTATATGACACAAATCAAAGAATATTTAAGGTGGGTTTAATGCATTTAGAAAAGACTAGCAAAATCATGTAATGAACTAGGGCACCACACTATATGTCTATGTCTGGCTTGGTTTTTTTCTCTTGATCAGTAATTCAAACTCACAATTCAATTAATTGCCAAGAACATGGTGTCTGGAAACCAGCTTTCTGCTTCGTGCCACACACCGATGAGCAACATTCTACAAGGTAATTAAATTAACATGCATGAGACTGAATAGAACAAACCTGAAGCTATAAGGAGGGACAACGGTTACAGTATGCAAAATACTAAACTTCCATTTGCCAGTAAACTGATTTTCCTTTTCAAATCTCTATTCACCTGAACTAGACTTCGATCCTCCAAGTCACTTAAGAGCTAGAGTTTGAAAGCCTCTTCTTAAGTCCTTTAAGAAAGGAGACTCGGTGCTTCTGAATAGCTGGTTTAGCAGAGCATGTTCTGTGCAGCAGCATTTTCCAAGTTGTAGCTGACCTTCCTCACCATGGCCACAGCTAAGCAGCACATCAGTAATTCTGAAGCTACTGCCACATTTCTAGTAAAACACTTGTTACAGAACCACAGTTCTGCAGTTCACAGTTATGTACAGAACCACAGTGTCCCAAGGAAGGGAATATTCAGTATATTTCAATATTGGTTGCCATCCTTTTCTTGCTCATTTTAAATGTTCTTCCTCATGCTCGTAACTGGAACATAAAACGTGCCCTTCTAGGTCTGACCAATGTCCATCTAACACTAACGTCATCACTGGTAACAGCAAGTGTTATTATCTAGGGAGACAATATACGCTTATCGTGCACACCTTTTACATCTTCCCAGCATACCTGACTGTCGTAGGGACATTAAAGTCCATCCCCTGTAGTATTTGTTTATGGCTCAGTCCTGCACACACTTGTTTAACCTCTTCCTAACTGCTTCCACAACTCTGACAGGACCGAGTTCCACTACATTGTACATCTGATTTAGAACACGTGCCTGCCCACTTCATCTCCTGTCACTGGGCTCTGGTACTGCAGAATTCGGAGTTACTGTTGTGCATTCGCCATCCCCTTTCCAGCCTTCCCATTCCCAGATTGAAACATTCCAGCCTTTTAAGCATCTCCTTGCAAGACAGCTGCTCAGTTCCCTAACTCTTTTTAGTAGGCCTGTATCTTCTGTAACTCCATTACACACACTCCTCAAGGTGGGAAGAGAAAAACCACAGGCAATACTCCAAACATGAGCACCCCAAGGCTTCCAGGACCATGCAGCAACACTATCTTGCTCTCAACACCCTGATGATGCA